ACTCTTTCACTCACTCTCTCTCTCACTCACTCACACACTCATGCACACGCTCTCTCACTCACACGCACTCACACGCACTCACTCACTCTCACTCACACTCACGCACACGCTCTCACACTCACGCACACACTCTCACACACACGCACACTCTCTCTCACACACACACACACACACACACACACACTCACTCACACGCTCACACACACACACACACGCTCTCTCACACACACACACACACTCTCACACACGCTCACACACACTCGCTCACACACACACACACACACACACACTCTCTCACACACACCTGTATGAATGCAGTATTTTTATATTTCAATTTATGGATTTTTATTTATACATATTCTTTCTTTATTATTAATAACATTCATAATATTCTATATGCTATTTTAAGCCAACTACACTGATTTTGTAGCAGCCTTTGCTGCTTTGTGACGACTATTGGTTCGGATTAGATTTATAATAGTTTATTTATTTTATTGTATTTTATTTTGCTCTTGCTGTATTTTTATTATCTCTCTCTTTGTGTTTTATTGTGTTTTATGTAATTGTACAGCACTTTGGTCCACTCTGTGTGTTTTTTAAGTTGTTTTATAAATACATTTTGATTTCTTTTGAAAATTGGCTTGACTTTAATAGTTCAGTTGGGCATAAAATCCACAATAAAGAATGAATTGTTATTATTTATATCTGTAGAATGTCTGTAAAAGCCCTGACTTTTCATGTATGTATGTCAGCATTATTGATAATGTAGAGTTTTTTTCTCTTTCTCTGTGTGTCTGCAGGCCGTCAGCTGGTGCTGGAGACGCTTTACGCTCTGACCTCCAACACCAAGATCATCACCGAGGCCATGAACAGAGGTGTGTGATCCGTGTCTTCAGAAGCTGATGCAGCTGTTTGAGTCTCCGTCTCTTCTGACCTCTGTCTGTCTCTCAGGTGCGCTGATCTACCTGCTGGATCTGTTCTGTAACTCCACCCATCCTCAGGTGCGCACGCAGACGGCTGAGCTCTTCTCCAAGATGACCTCGGACAAGCTGGTGGGGCCCAAGGTAAGAGTCCTTCCGTTTCTCCCGTATCGTATCGATGTTTTGAGTTAGACGGTGTGTGCAGGAGCTGTAGGTCGTTACTGCGTGTTAATCACTGGATTACCTGTGTCCGTCTCTCTCAGGTGCGTCTGACGCTGATGCGCTTCCTGCCGGCCGTGTTCATGGACGCCATGCGTGATAACCCCGAGGCGGCGGTGCACATATTCGAGGGAACGCACGAGAACCCCGAGCTGATCTGGAACGACAGCTCGAGAGAGACCGTCTCCACCAGCGTCAGAGAGATGATGCTGGAGTGAGTGCTGACCTCAGATCAGTCCTTCCCCTTCCCTCGCTACTCTATTCTCTGCTCATTCTCTCTGCTTCTGTTCCCACAGGCACTTCAAGCAGCAGAAGGACAATCCTGAAGTCAGCTGGAAGGTAGCTTCGGTTTACATTTACAGTTTTACCGCTAAACAGTTTGGGTTTTGTGAGAAATGTTTCTGAAAGAAGGCTGCATTGATTTGATCAAAAATACAGTAAAAACAGTGAAATATTATTATAATGTAAAACAGCTGTTTTCTATGTGAATATGTGTTAAACTGTAATGTATTTCTGTGATGCGCAGCTGTATTTTCAGCATCATTACTCCAGTCTTCAGTGTCACATGATCTTCAGAAATCATTCTAATATGCTGATTTGCTGCTCAACAAACATTTCTGATTATTATTAATGTTGAAAACAGTTGTGCTGCACAATATTTTTGTGGAAACTAGGTCTGGGCGATAATTTTCCGATTTTATCGATTAATTTGAATGTAATGTTTTCACAAGATTTTATTTTTCATAAATCGAGGAATGGCGATTTTGAATAGAAATATTACCAAACTTTAGAATTAGACACTTTGACAATATGCCAATGATAGCAGTACGATACAACCGCGTGTCTGCACTCGTGGTTAACCGCTCAAGCGTGGCGCGCTCATATGTTTACACAGAATGCGCTTTTGTGTTGATAAAGAGTCCAAAAAGTGGAATAGGAAAAAATGCAAGAATATGGGAGTTTAAATTCTTTTAACTTGAGCGGTGTGCTTTTAGAAAGCCGTTTTGTGCAAGAGACGCAACTGCAACAGTCAAACGCATCCATGTTTACACAGAAAAAAAAAAACCTGTGAAGAACTACTGCTGTATGTCTGATATTTCATGTTTGCATCACGGTGACTGACTGAAAGCTGCTGTTCATTGTTTTTGCAGAACATTTATAGTTATTAATAGTCTACTGGTGTTATACCTTCAGTCATTCTGAATTTGAATTACCTTGACTTTGAGAATTTTTTAAAGCATTTTCATGCATCTTTTCTGCAAAGATATTTAACAGGTGATTTGTTTAACATTTACATCATGTTGACAACTTCATGTGTGCTGCACTTGGATCAGAATTTTCTTTAACTAGAGGGTTAATAAAGAAAAAGTTATTTGAATCATGTTGTAATTACATTTTGAAGTTGACCAGTTAAAAATCGTAAAAAAACGATTATCGGTCAAACGTTCTGTAAAAATCGAGATTTAATTTTTTTGCCACATCGCCCAGCCCTAATGGAAACTGAGATATATTTTATATCTCACAGATGAATAGAAAGTTCAAAAGAGCAGCATTTATTTGAAAGAGAAATCTACTGTAAGATTATAAACGCGTTCACTGGCTCTTGTGATGTGTTCCTGCTGAGT